CCTCCCTCCCCTCCCCCCACCGTGCCTGGCTCTCCTACACTACCACCTCCTCCTCCTCCCGCTTCCACGCCTCCTCTTGGCCTCCCGCGCGGTCGCGGCGCTTTGTGACGCCGGCGCGTGTCCCCCGCCTATAAAGAGCCCAGAGGCAGCGGGGACCGAGGATGGGCGCAGGGATTGCCGTGGCCCCATAGTGACGGTTGTGCGGCTGGACGCCGCAGTTCCAAAGGCGTGCCCCGGAAGGGAACCCAGGTCCCCCGGTTCTCGGGGCCCTCCCCACTGTGGATCCAGGGGCCTCGGCAGCCATCCTGGGACGGGCCTGGTCGCTCCAGGCCCCTCCCTGTGACACCCAGTCTGCGGTCCCTCCACTTAGTAGCTACTTGATTAGGATGTGCTGAGAATGTGGGTCTTTTCGGTGGCAACAGACCTTCCCGCAGGCCAGCCCACAGGCAAATATGCCCTTGGGCACGTTACCCACCCTGGGTGCGGCAGTTCCACGTGAGAAACGGGGTAAGACAGAAAGGTCAGCTTCTGCTTCCCTTCTTAACTACAAAGAGGAAGTTGTGAGGAAAAAGAGACAATAACAAAGTGGGTCTCCTGCCCTTCTCATTGTGATTTGGGGCTACCCTTCGCCCTCCCCATTTGTAAAATAAACTGTGCTTGAACTTTGACCCCTTATAGGTCCTTTTGGCTTGAATGTCCACCCTGGAACTGAGGGACTTTCGAGATAATCATAACCGAAATGAGATGTGGGGACAGTCTTTGGTCCCCGTAGTTCAGAATACAGTACTCCTTTCTCTTAGGAAGGCGTGTCCTAGGATAACTGCCTAAAAAACATTTCCTAGAAAAGCCAGAATACTGTGAGAGTTCTACACACACAATTTCGGAATCGGACAGATCTTGGTTCCAACCCTAGTTCCACACATTACTTCTCCCTGTCTCATCAGTTTTTTGGTTTTTTGTTTTGTTTTGTTTGAGACAGGGTCTTGCTCTATCACCCAGGCCGTCGCACAGTGGCGCGATCACGGCCCACTGCAACCTCCGCCTCCCAGGTTCAAGCGATTCTTCCACCTCAGCCTCCCAAATAGCTAGGACTACAGGTGCTTGCCACCACACCCGGCTGTTTCATCAGCTTCTGTAAAAGGGGATTAATTATACCCAACACAAGCAATTATAATGATTAAACGTATGTACAGCATTTAGCGTAGTGACTGGCACATGGTAAATGATTCATAGGAACTTGAAAGAATAAACTTTAAGGCATAGCTGTATTCTGGATACCACCACTACCCACCCCTTTTATTGAGACAGGGTCTCACTCTGTTACCCAGGCTGGAGTACAGTAGTGATTATAGCTCACTCTAGCAGCAACCTCCTGGGCTCAAGCCATCCTCTAACCTCAGTCTCCCAAGTAGCAGGATCACAGGTGCGCACTGCCATGCCCAGCTAATTTTTGTATTTTTGGTAGAGACGGGGTTTCACCATGTTGGCCAGGCTGGTCTCCAACCCCTGATCTCAGGTGATCCGTCCACCTCAGCCTCCCAAAGTGCTGGGATTACTATCATGAGCCACTGTGCCCAGCCAAGGCACAGTGATTTATAGAAAAATTGAAAAGATAGTCGAGTTCCCCTACACCTGGTGCCCAGTTTCCCCTTTTATTAATATATTACATTAGAAGAGTACATGTATTACAATTAATGAGCTAATATTGATACATCACTATTAACTGAAGTTCATACTTCCTTAATTTTTACCTAGTGACCTTTTGCTGTTCCAGGATCTCATCCAGGATACCAGACTACATTCAGTTTTCCTGTTTCCTTAGATTCCTCTTGACTGTGGCAAAAGACTTTGTTTTGATGACTTTAAGAGTTTTGAAGAATACTGGTCAAGTATTTTGTAGACTGTCCCTCAGTTGGGATTGTGATGCTTTTCTCATGATTAGACTGGTATTATGAGTTTTTGAGGGTAAGATCACAGAGGTGAAGTGCCATTTCATCACATCATATTAAGGGCACAGATAGCAACATGACTTAGCAATGTTGATGTTGACCTTGATTGTCTGGCTGAGGAAGTGTGTCAAGTCTTTCTACTGTAAAGTTACTCTGCCCCTCCCTCCCCCTTTTCTATACTGTACTCTTTGGAATGGAGTCACTCTACACAATCCACATTTAAGCAGCACCCCCTCCTTTTCTTTTGGCCTTTTTTTTTCCCCCTCAAAGGTGAGGTCTCAGTGTTTTAACACATCCTTTTCTAGCCACCAATACTACTGTCCAGGTCTTGAGACCGAACTCTAATAGAATTAGAGCTCCCCTCAGAGAAGAGGGAGTATCCTAGTGAATGCAGCCCCTCTTATCAAAATGATGAAGTTTATGTACCATTCTGTCTTTCCCTCCAGTACCAGTCAATTTAGGGACAAGAGGATTACTGATCCGGAAATGTGAAAGATGATGTTGACACCTTTAATAGCAAGTGAGCAGATAAATAGGTAGAAAGGTCATCTTCAAAGCATTTCACCCACAAAAACTCATCACAGCCCCACCCTGACCTGGAGGATGATGAAGCCCTAGTCTAACCCACTGGACCGTATACATGGCACCCAGACCAGAAGCGACCCCTGGGCTCATGTCAACTCACAAACTCACTAAGCATCCACTGAGGGCATGCCTCTATGCTGGGAGGTTGGAAGCTCAATGTGTTAATGAGTTTTATAATCAAGGCTCTTTATTCTCAGGTCATAGGAACTGGAATTCCACAGAACTAGCTCATGTGTTTTTATTCTAGCCAGTAAGACATTGTTATTAGTAGACTGCCACTGTGTCTTATTCATCCCTGAATCCTCAGCAACAGGCACACCATCTGACACAAAGTAGACACTAAGTAATTGTTCTCAAGAGACTCACGGCCAAGGACAGGAAGACAATGAGTAATCACAAAATCACAAATTGAACTCTACCCTCTATGTCCAGCTATTTTCTCAAGCACATAGTAGGTGCTCAAGACTATAAATTCCGAAACTGTATACCAGCTACTCCAATGTTTGGCACATATTAAGTGCTCAAAACATATTTGTTAAAAGAATGAATGCTAGAAACAGCTTCCTAGAGCTTTCTCATATTGTTTCATAATGGCATGTAGATTGACTTGACTGATTGGTGCCCTCTGGTGGTAAAGAAAAACAGCATTCAAAATTAAAATTTTAAAAATAATTTTTTTAAAAACAGAAAACAGAGCACTTAACGTTCACTACCAGGCATCACCTGGTACTTTCCAACCAGGGTACTTCTTCTTCTTTTTTTTTTTTTTAAACTGAGGCAGTCTTGCTCTGTCATCCAGGCTGGAGTACAGTAGCATGACTTGGCTCCCAGCAACCTCCGCCTCCTGGGTTCCAGCAATCCTCCCACCTCAACCCCGGAGTAGCTGGGACTACAGGCTCAGTGCCACCACGCCCGACTAATGTTTGTATTTTTAGTAGAGACAAGGTTTCATTATGTTGCCCAGGCTGGTCTTGAACTCCTGAGCTCAAGCAATCCACCCACCTCAGCCTCTCAAAGTGCTGAGATTACAGGCGTGAGCCACCGTGGCAAGCCCACTATTAATTTTAGAGGAAGACTGTGGCTCCTTAAGAGTAGTGTCCAAGTTTTACACATATGTTAACATATTTAAACAAGTTGGCCAGGCGCGGTGGCTCACGCCTGTAATCCCAGCACTTTGGGAGGCCGAGGCAGGCGGATCATTTGAGGTCAGGAGTTTGAGATCAGCCTGACCAACATGGTGAAACCCCATCTCTACTAAAAATACAAAAATTAGTCGGGCGTCATGGCGGGCACCTGTAGTCCCAGCTACTTGGGAGACTGAGGCAGGAGAATCGCTTGAACCCAGAAGGCAGAGGTTGCATTGCGCCGAGATCATGACACTGCATTCCAGCCTGGGCAACAGAGTGAGACTCTGACTCAAAAAAAAAAAAAAAAAAAAGGTGGTCCCCATAAAACTCATTCTTTATAAGGTCAGAATTAACCTTCCTAAAGCAAATATTGTTCCCTCCTGTTTATCTTACCAAGATTTCCATATAGTTTCTTTTTGAAAGAAAGATAATCATTTTAAGAAGTGCCACAGGCCAGGTGCCGTGGCTCATGCCCGTAATCCCAGCACTTTGGGAAGCTGAGGCAGGAGGATCACGAGGTCAGATCAAGAGCAACCTGA